AAGTATTTTTTCAATTCGAACTCATAATTATTATTAAGATTAGCGCGTTCAAACAAACAAACAATCTCTTCAGCTTTATATATTAGTATAGATGTAATTGCACATTTTGGACAGCAAAGCGCATAGTTATAGATACGTACATATACGATGTTGATTCGTACAATACCGCTAGATACACACCATAACACTTACTATTGAAGTAAGTCGAATAAGTGCCCTCCTAAACGTTAATGTTTAGACATTTACGCGAATTTCGCTGCGCGGCGTACAATAAAATTTAACGAGTGCAGTAATTCCGTTTGCTTCTCGTTTTATTTATTTCTAATTCTAATATTGTTAGGTGATTGCTGTTAATTTATCGTCATCGGTAGGACGATCTGACACGAAGCACTTGTCCACTGTTTAGGATTTTTTTTTAATACAGAGGAGGAAAGACATGCGTGGGATACACTTTCAACCAATTATGACTTTGATATTTGGAAATCCACGGGCTGAAACCGGAACGCGATTAAATTTCATGGCGTTTTAATTTGTGGACACTGGTTCGTAACCCGGACGGAATTTCGATATTCCACCCATTTAACGTGCGGATTTTCAGACGAAGTCCAACATGTTTAAAAAAGTAATTATTTGAAAAATTTAAAACATGGTGGAGCCGGCGGGGAACCGGCAATGCTGCTGATCTTCGTAACTAGCCAATAATAGGGTACATAGGCCCTAATATATATGCTGGTGGGAGAATCTTTGGCCCCGTCCGAGTTGGCGGTGTTTGCTATGTCCGATATAACGGAGAGCTAAACACTGTCTGTAATTTACGAGACTAGTACACATTTAAATAAAACCCTTGACGGTTTAAAACGCGACATATTAGTTAAACTTATTTGAAAATTTTATCTACGTCCCGACGTTTCGGATGCTTTGCAGCAGCCCTGGTGACGGGGAGACCAAAGACGGAGCGTGTCTCTAACGTCAAAGTAAAAAACTGCTACGCTAGCGTCATTTGTTCCGTCGATGCAAATAACTACTTCGATATATCGCGTTTTAAATCGTTAAAGTGTTTTATTTAAACTAAAAGCTATACAACATCCTTATATCCAATATAATATCCGCCAGTATTGTCCAATTCATTAAAAGCAGACTTAAACGGCTGCGATATGTACACAAAACCTCCTTACTGAAATCGCAACCAGGAGGCGAACAAAAGCCCTGGAGACCGAGGGTTCGCTGGTAGATGGCACATCGCATAAGTATTGTATCCAAGACACATCGGATTCTACAAAGAGATATATATTATCATACATAATCTAAAATCGAACACCAGTTCTTACGTTCATAAATCCGACGATACCACTAAACCAACACAGCTCTCAACTTAATTACACTCAAAAGCCTTACAAACTACTCCTTGGAAATGTAACAAGTGCTTTCGCACTCGACGCCCGCGGCGTTTGCGAAAGCTCTAGAATGAACCTTCACGGGCGTTCAGTAGACCATGTATGGTTCTTATTAGCACCACTACTAACACGAGACTGTATTTGAAGTTGTTTTGAATCCCGGTTCTACCTATGCACTAAAAATGTATTTGCCTTTTAAATAAAACACTTCAACGGTTTAAAACGCGATATATTAGTTAAACTTATTTGAAAATGATTTTTAACTTCGGCCCGACGTCTCCCCGTGACCACGGCTGCTGCAAAGCATCCGAAACGTCGGGATGATGGATGGATGATGTCGAGCCGAAGTTAAAAATCATTTTAAAAGAAGTTTAACTAATATATCGCGTTTTAAACCTTTAAAGTGTTTTATTTAAATGTGTACTACTCGCGTAAACTATAGACAGTATTTAATTACTACCATTTCTCAAATCGAGGGCGTAGATCGGACAAAATAAGGTATCGGTACTAGCTACAAAGAAAGATATTTCACACTACATTGACAATTATTATTCTTAACTGTACTTTACAAATAGACAACAATAAAATAATTAACTGATCCGATGTAAATTTAAAACATTATTATTAGTATATATTTTAACCTCTAACTTATAATCAGCGGGGGGTTTCGGACCCATCCGGGTTCACAACATGTTTCTAATCAATAAAAAACAATTCTGGATATTAGATGGATGGTAGAATCCAAGGATGACGATGATTAAACGACTTTTTGCCGTGAAATCGCGTTTCGGCTTCTGTCTGTGGATTTCTGAATATCCAATGTCAAAATAGGTCGACAAACAATGTACGTAACTTCCATTAAGATTCCATCAATCCTTTTTATTTATTATTGCTTTATTATTTATCAAACACACCACAGAAAATATATATTAATGAGGGATAAATATTACGTACTAACTTATAGATAAAAGGCGTGCAACCCTATCATATAAAAATAAAAATTTTTTATTTACGAAACTCAATGACAAAATTTAAGTTTAGGGAGAGTGGGTGTAGTCGTGCAAACATACATTTTGTTAAATTATTAAACACAACTATTTGTTTATAGTTTATTAATACGAGTATATTTAGTCAATAGCTAATAAAGATACTTTGCTGCCTTCGTGAGCTGAAGATAAAACTTAATAAAACATTGGGGAGTTTCCTTTAGATATCCTAACTCCGAGAATACGAAGAGAGAAATTTACGACACAGATTTTAAATATCTTTTCAGGAATGGATGAAATAAATCACACGAATGAATAGGGATACATTATTCACAAAATAATGGGAAATGTCCAACTATATCTAGCACGGATAATATTTACGAACTTGCTCTAAGTATCTACGAGTATACTATATAAAGCTGAGAAGAGTTTGTTTGTTTGAACGCACTAATCTTTGGAACTACTGGTGGGAATTGAATCATCATTCTTTTTGTATTCGTTAAAGCTTGAAGTTTATCGAGGAATGCTATAAGTTATAAAACATCGCGATGCAACTTATAGGAGCGAAGAAATAACGGGAAATGTGGAGAAAACGGAAAACATATTCATCTTTGTTGGTTTTTGTTGCTGCGAAAGCGATTCAAGATACTTGAAACATATGTAAGAAAGAATGTTTACTCTTTAAATGATCTAAAAAAATGTCCGCGACAATATATGTCTATCTTTTGAGATTAACTTGCAAACCCGACGGGACACGGCCGACGTCGTGGGCAACAGCTTATGTCTAAAAGATAAAGAGGTTTGCAAAAACAAATTTTAATGCCCAAAATAACTATTCTACGCGGACGAAGTCGCTAACACAGCTAGTTAACTTGTAGTAAAATAGTTCCGAATTTATGACATGATGAAAAGTACTACCTTATGACATATAATTAAGATGCTACTGACCTATTTTTTTAGAATTGTTAGAACTGAAAGGCGGGTTTTTATTTTATGTTTTAAATGTATTTTTTTATAATTTATCTGAGTCTATGGTTACCGCCCGGTAACCATAGACTCAGACATAGACTAGAGTCAGACACTGACTATATTTTAATTTGAAGCCATTAATTTGTAATACATGCACTATAAAATTCAAAAAACGATTTTAAATTGAAAAAATAATACGACACAGGCAGGACTTGATCTGTGGATGCTGGATGCTAAATTCATTTGAATCTATGATCGATTTATAATTCATTCCTAACTTGTAAATATTTAGGTAAACATGTGCAATAATGTATAAGTAAATATCATATTATATTTGAATTAGTAATGTAAAATAAATACTTCAGTAAATAAAACAAGACGATATCATATGGTTGGACGTCTTATAGTGTATGAATAGGAGATCAGAACCGAACCGATGTGGTTTGAATACGGCTGCAATTTTATCATCCTGGTAACCCTCGTTACTTATTAGACGTCGCATTCAAACGAAAGCTCCTCGTGGGAGACCGCAAATCTTACTATGTATTATAATCTCGACGTGTTCTGGAATCCTGGTAACTGATGAGATTCAGCGGTTGGTAAATACATAGTTTTCGACGTTCAATGTGGCATATTTCATTAATTAAAAAACCAATATTTAACCTTAACCAATGTTAGAATGTTATAGAGATTCTGTGGAGTCATAGGAAGGACATTTAGAGGTTTAAAAATCACCTTTAACGGTTTAAAACGCGAAATGCATTAGTTAACTTATATAAAGTGCGACCTGACGTTTCGGATGCATTGCGGCAGCTCACGGGCGATCGCTATCCCCTTGACAACTCTTATAAATAACTTAAATAATACATTTCGCATTTTAAACCGTTAAAGGTATTTTTTTATGGTTACTACTCGCGTAAACTACAGATTAATAGGATGTTTGACCCGCACAGAATATAGTTTTTAATGGATATTTTTTTAATAAACGACAGTGAGTATATACATATGTACGTATAATCATCATGTTTCAACCGTATACTATAAATTTATCATATATAAATAAACTACTTTATTATAATTCTTTAAAAGAGAAAACACTGCAACAATCGGCGTTGGTTTTGGTATAGTCTTGGCCCATTCCTGCATATTTTCAAACATAAAACATTCTATAGTAAATATACTAAACACAATCCATTAAATTGTGCCTTTTGCTAAATCCCGCAACTCTTGATTGAGTTTCGAGAACTCTTGGATTCCGCTTTTCAAGCAAATGTTAAATTGCCGCTCAGTTCTTTTTGCCTGGGTCAACAAGGCGGTCTAAAAGCGTTCGATCGAAAAGATAAAGCACAGCACTTGTGTGAGTTTTGCCAGCAGCTTAAGTAGACCTTCGCGAGGCATTCAAAAGAATTCTTAATTCTGGACAGAGTTAAAATATCTTCTTAGCCCCGTGGAAGATTTTTATAATCTGTGGGCCGTCTATAACTGTCGTAATCTTTACGTCACTTTGTTGAAAACATATTTTTATTTTAAATGTTTTCTCATTGATATGATTCAAACATGTAAAATACTAATTATAGTTTCTACATTATTATTTCCTATCAGAGCGGTCAAACATACGGAAGTAAACTTTCACGATTGGGAAGTAGTCGAAATGTTGGCCGAAGAACATCCATATATAGTAGCCTTATTGAATAATACGAAAAATTATACATGCACAGGTGTTATAATAGATCATCGTCGAGTACTAACTTCAGGGACTTGTATAGACACTGTACCCACTTACGTGGTGGTCGGAAGCGCTATAGCCGGTCAGAGAACGAAAGGAAATAACATTTTCAATGTTGCATATACGAAAGCACACGAGGATTATTCCTTTGAAGTCAATCAACGGAATCAAAACGTCACTCGGATGCATAGCAATATCGCACTAGTATTTACAGTAGAACTAACCTTGTTATATTTCACGGAAGCCGCAATTTTGAGCAACTATTTCGAATCAGAATTGAGGAATAAAAAACTACACGCAACGGGATTTGGTGAGATAGATAAAAGAGTTACAGTGTTACAGCACCAACGTTACCGTCAAGTTGCCTGCACTAATCCAAAATGGTACTATTGTATTTGTGGGAGGGAAAGTGGAAAAACATACGATCAATATTTCGGAGAGGGCGCTCCAGTGTTTTATAAAAATGAAGTAATCGGCATATCCGCTTTCCCGACTGGTTTATTGAAGTTGAAAAACGATGAGCGATATAACGTGTTCACTGTAATAAGCCCGTACTTGCCGTGGATTAAAAAAACGCAGTCGAATGAAGTACGCGCATATCGTTTGAATTCGAGTGGAGTAGCTCGTAGCAGTCTTTATTTTGTAACTGTTTTATTGGTTGGTATTAAATTAATTGTGTTCCAATATTGTGCATTATTATTATGTCCTGGTATTGCTTTTGCTGTTTTTGTGACATAAGAAGATTTGGAGTTGACATGATCAATAATGCCAATCTTATGAGACCTCATTTGTTCCTAGTAATTATTATATCATAATTGTAGAATACAAAATGTACACTATCAATATTTAATCATCGACAATAGTATTATAATCACCTACTCATGTGTGGCATAGTGTGTCATTGTGACCCAGTTTAGAATCTTAAAAAAATATTAAACTGAGACGAAAACACGAATTCATGTCTTACCCATATAGCCCTTGGTCCGTAATCCGGAAATAATTTTGACATTGCTACCACCTAATAAACAATCCAAAATTTTCAAGTCGTTTCAAATTTTTTGACAAAAAATATACGGTATGGTGGGAATTAAACTCACAATCTGTTTCTTATTAGCTCTATATTGCTTCTGTTCAACCGATAATATCTCTTTCATCATTTTAACTATTATTGGAATCTATTCGTTAATTTTCATATGAAAATTAGCAATACTTTAACTGAGTTTCTAATCTCCACACACTATGAACATACTGAAAATCAGTTACAGGTCAGCTCAAGCTGATATAAGTCACACCCTAGTCTGCGCACGCGCTTCCACGCTTAACTGACGTCGACCTCCTGCTCTATCATCTATCGGTTTTATATTAGCAGTCGAAATTTTTATATGTAAAGCAGTTATTAACATTAACATATTATGTGTTCCTAATATATATTGTTATACATAATAACCAACCCATGTTACACTAAGGAATATTAATTTGGGAAATGTTTTGATGTTATTTATATACGTTATATATATATTTGTGTGGCTTGTGGTAACAAGTACATTTATTAATTTATTTCTCTTATTTCATAAGCCTAGCGTCAGTAACATTTTAAACATTATTTGAATAAATAAAAAATACTTGCAGAAATGGGAAACATTTTATTTTAAACAAACAGAACGAACATCTACAAAAATATCGCTCTTTTCGAGGTGATAAAGATATATTTATTTAAGAGATGTGCGTCTGACCTTTGACTTGAAAGATAACAAACAAGAGAACTAACGATATCAAAACACTATTGTTACGTTAAAATTAACCGTAATAATGAATTCTGTTAAGGTTTTTGTGCGAAATATGTCTCAAAAATGGAAGCCTTTAAAGCAAGTCGGTGTTATTGGAGTGCCGTTTGAGAAAGGTCAGAAGAAATATGGAGTCAGCGTTGCTCCTGCAGCGATGAGGTCTGCTGGACTTATAGAGCAATTGAGAGAAATCGGTGAGTTGTGCCAATTACTTAAACACTGGTTGTAGTTCACGCGAGTAGTGCACATTAAATGAAACACTTTAACGGTTTAAAACGCGATATAGTAAGACTTATTTAAATTATTTTTCGCTGCTGCAAAGCGTCTAAAACGTTGGACCGTATTAAAAATTATTTTCAAACGTATTTAACTAATATATATCGCGTTTTTAACCTTTAAAGCGTTTTATTCAAATAAATCTTACTTAAAACATAGCTTAGCCATTATAATAAACACATTGTGTTTTCTTTTTTACATACACACAACATTCACATATACAACTAAATTAGATACGAGGTAGACAAATTTCTGTGTTTGTATTACTGATCGAATTTAAGCTTTTTAAATTATTATGCATTTATTTATGAGATATGAAGTTGTAAAATTGTATTTTTAACTATTTTATTTAGTACGTAATTTCTTTTTTCAATTACAGTTGCTTTGAAGACATAGCTGTTAGTACATACCAATTATTATTTTTTATTTGTGACACTAAAGATTTTTTTCAGATGGCCTAGACGTCAAAGACTATGGAGACATAGATATACCATCATGCCACGAAGCCGCTACTGTAGACAATATGGCGTATCTTCCTCTAGTTTCTGCCTGTAACAGAAGTCTATCGAACAAAATGACTCAGGTGCTTAACGATGGAAGACTTGCAGTGACAATAGGCGGTGATCACTCTATAGGAGTAGGTAATAGCTTTAACATTTTATAACTGATAAATCAGTCACGTTATGTAACGCGTTACAAATCAAGTCTCTTACGCATGCTGTAGGTATTGTCACTTTTGCCATGCGACTCGAAACGTACACGTATTTTTGAAGTGTTATGGCTTTCGTTATTCATTATGCGTATGTCTTCCCTCTCTCTAACGTATTCTATAATTAGTTCTACTTAAATCGACTTGTTACTTTTAGTAGATGTTGAAAATTGTTTTCCGATTTTCTTAGTCTATGTTGTGTATTTTGACTGGCTCATTGGTGCAACGGTAGCATTTATGGCGAATAATCAACGGGGCCGTGGGTTCGTTCTTCAGCGGGACCGACATATTTTTTAATCAATTTATAATTTTTCTGAAACATGTTGGACTTTATCTGGAAATCTAGATATTAAATAGGTGGCAGGGATATCGAACTTCGTGAAAAAGCCGTCAAGTTTCAAGGTTTCAGTCTGTGGATTTTCGAATATCCTAAGCCAAAATAGGACACCCATGGACAGCCCATCCTGTTTAGATGCTATATGTAGTAATTAACCTACCTACTACTTGTGTAGTGTTGTGTAGTGAAGTCCATGCTTATCTGTGTCTCCTAAAGCAAAAAAAAATGTTTTTCGAATTTTAAACAGAATCTCAATATTATACCGCGCGTCTTTTCATAATACGGACAGAAGTTGATTTAATGTATATCGCAATATTTGCGTAAAATCCTCTGACGCCAACGCTACTATTGAGTTGTAGCAGTGCTTATTCCATTTTATGGTTACGCCCACGCAACCCCGGTCAGTAATATAGATAAAAAGTATTGAAAAGAACGAACCACCTACGCGAGTTTTATAGACAGCATTCAAAATGAAATCAGATCTTTTTATAATAGTTGTTCTATAAATTGACTGGCGTTTCAGATCACAATTTTAGCATTATCATAAAAACCTTTAAACATACCGCTTGAAATAGGCTGAGGATCTTGCAGATAGATAACCTTAATAGCAATACATCAGAAAGTGACATATCAATAATGGAACAAGATGACGAAGGTAGCAAAGACCTTTAAGGCATCATGCTTTGCAACCTGACGCGCTCTTACCGATTTCTTAGTACAGACAGCATAATAGTACTAAATTTTAAATGTCTCAATTATACTAAATTTTTGGGTATTCTAATAAATTCGTTCGTTCATTAGTAAGATTCGATATCGAATTACAATAAGTCAATAATCTTACCATTTTTTTTATCCACGAAACTCGAATTACATAACACAAAACAAATTGCCTAGTGCCAAACTTATGTAAAATATTTTAAGTTGAAATAAAACTTAACACCAACAGAAATGTTGGAGATACTTTTTTTAGCCAGCCTTAAAAAAAATAAAACACATCGTGTACACATTCAACAAAAAATGGGCTACAGAAAACACTTCAAACAACTCGTGATTAAAAACAATTTATACGTTCAGCGTTTTTATTGTATTTGGACGTTACACTGTACAAAACATAAAATAAGATTGATAACGGTCTATCTTTGCTAGCTGTACTTTACTTAAAAATACAATTAGAAATATAAAAACAGTCAATAGCTTTTGTTGCTGATCGTACTTAGAAGGTATCTGCTGACTCGCGACTTGTATATGCTGACTCATTTAAACTGTCTCATAATCTATTGAATACGTTAATCTTAATAACTCAACTCAAAGAACATACTAGTTAAAAATCCAAATAGAACCACGATTCTATGGTGTTGAAGGCCTAATACACACTACTAATAATAAACAACAAACATAATTAACTATTTTAAATAAAACACTTTAACGGTTTAAAACGCGATATATTAGTTAAACATATTTAAAAATGATTTTTAACTTCGGCCCGACGTTTCTGTCTCGTCTCCCCGTGACCACGGCTGCTGCAAAGCATCCGAAACGTCGGGCCGAAGTTAAAAATCATTTTCAAATAAGTTTAACTAATATATCGCGTTTTAAACCGTTAAAGTGTTTTATTTAATTGTGTACTACTCGCGTAAACTATAGACAGTATATAATTAACTCTTTTTATAAGGAGGACAAGTAAGCATGAAGTTCACTCGAAGGTACAAAGAAAGAAAATGTACTTGACACGCCTGTTCGATATTTCTATCATCTAATGTACAGATGTTTCAGGCAAAATAAATTGAATTGAACAGATCTTTCGGTCAGGAAGGACATAGAAATGTGTCGCTATGTCCCAAGGGTACCGGGATTTTATATTAAAAAAAACAAAACACTGCTGTTATAAATCACGTTGTATAAAAGAAAATCTTATTTTCTCTGACTTCTTTGATCTTGATTAAGTTTGCTATATTGCTTGTAATAGTATCGGGATATTATATTAGGGGCTAAGTGAGAGTGCTCCAGAGGAAATTAAAAATGCGCGTTATGAATTTATATTATTATTATGTTAACAATTTTCGGTCACTGTGCTCTTGGAGATTCACATTTTTAAACTATGAAAATATAAATAACTCAAGTCATAAAATTACGGTTAGGCTACTCTGCCTCTAGCGGCCTCATATAAGTGTATTATACAATCTCCATTATCCAAATTTAAGCTAGCGTTTCGTTTCTTATCTTAATTATCTCTATTTACCTTTATTATTTATTTATCCCCATAGGCACCGTTGATGGACATTACAGCGTGAATGAAGATATGATCCTAATTTGGGTCGACGCACACGCAGACATAAACACAAACAAGACTTCGGATTCGGGGTCTGTGCACGGCATGCCGGTTGCACTGCTTGTAAAGGAATTGTCTGACTATTGGCCTTATCTACCCACAATGGACTGGCAGGTCCCCAAGTAATAATTTTACAAGTTTGTTAAAAACGTAATCATAAACTACTACTAGGTACTTAAGGCAAATTAAACACTGTTTGTAATTTACGCTACACACACACACATTTAAATAAAACAGTTTAACGGTTTAAAACGCGATATATATTAAAATCATGCGACCGCGACCACGGCTGCTGCAAAGCATCCGAATTGTCGGGCCGTAGTTCAAAAAAGTTTAATCGCCTTTAAACCGTTAAAGTGTTTTATTTAAATAGTAGGTAGATTTAAGATCGAATCTAAATTTTAACGAGACCTATTTCTTTGTCTAAGAAAAAACTTTAATTAAAGTAAAACTTTTCGTCTTAATATAAGATTTATGGATTCATATTTCTCTCTCTCTCTCATATTTCGATGGTACATAGTAGAGTCACAACAAGCTAAATCATTAATTAATTTTTCGATCCTGTTTTGTCATCCGTCTGTTGCTATATCTATTATCACACAAACAAAATTTCAGGCCTTTACGGGTAAGCTAGATTGCGCTTCTAGCAAGATTGTTTTACAGATTTTCCATCAAGAACTTAGGTTACATCGGTCTAAGATCCGTAGATCACTACGAACGACTAGCAATAGAGAAATACAAAGTTCCAACATTTGCTATGGAGGATATAGAAGAGTGAGTGATGTAACCCTTTAATTACGTAGTTTATGAAAAAGTTTCTTAGTAAAAATCAATTACACATACTGGAATCGAACCGCAACCCTGTTGGTTGTTGCAGTTTACTCTTCCACCCTTTGGTTTTATGATAGAAGAAGACTGACAAGCATAGGGTCCTATTTTGACTTAAAATATTCAGAAATTAACCGATTAAACTTAACAGTTTTTCCATCTGTGAACGGTTCGTGAAATGGACGGAATTAATATTTCTCGACGAAGTCTAATATGTTTTAAGAGAGACGAATTGTTTAGTAACTTGTTAAATCGAGGATCTGGGGATCGAATCCACGACCTATCCTATTACACAATTGACATACTTATAAACTTTTATATATTGCACATGATGGCATTATATAAATTAGAAATCGACTTTAGATTGACTATAACAAGTAGTATTTAGTGATAGTCAGACAGACAACGGCTTCTTATTTACCGAGTTTTTTTTCACCCTCTAATACCGAATCATTATTGTCAAAAGCCTCTTGTGTTTTAGCCACGGTATCCGAACATCTATAAATCACATTCTGCACGTATTAGACCCTGAGAAGAAGAAGCCAATCCACGTCAGTTTTGACATCGACTCCTTGGACGCGCTCGAAGCACCAAGTACAGGAACTTCAGGTTAAAATATTTTCATACAAATAAAACTAGTCTATTTATGTTGAAGTGACAACTTTTAAAAGGTGGTTGTACCTCTACCTTAGTTAACCCGTGGCGACCCCAATCTGTTTGGCCTTCCTTTTCAAGAGGTGTTTATTTATGAAATAAAATGTTTAAACCACAGTGCCCTGAGATGTGAAAAATATTTTTATGACAGTTCAATTTATCAAGTTGACTTGCTAACCTAGCACGCTTTTTTACCATATGAAGTATTTTAACCAAAATTTGATTACTGTAAAAACGCTTCTCATGAGTTAATCTTATGAGATACAGATAATGTCGCGGAGATTTACAGAGTAATAATTCTTTTAAATAAAACACTTTAACGGTTTAAAACGCGATATATTAGTTAAACTTATTTGAAAATGATTTGAGACCAGTCTCCCCGTGACCACGGCTGCTGCAAAGCATCCGAAACGTCGGGCCGAAGTTAAAAAAAAAGTTTAACTAATATATCACGTTTTAAACCGTTAAAGTGTTTTATTTAAATGTGTACTACTCGCGTAAACTATAGACAGTATTTAAGTAATAATTCTTTTATACATATTTTTTTAAACCTTAAAAATAAATAATTTTCCTAATTTATTCAATTTCACTGTTTCGTTGCTTCTATTATATATATATTCTCGATAAATGGTTCAACTATCACAAAAATATTTTTCAATTCGAACCAGTAGTTCTTAAGAATATGTTTTTCTTCAGCTATAATATCAGTATGAATTGTCAATAGCGAAAATATGGGTGATGCACGTAAATGTCAAACTCCAAAATGAATTACCGTACGTAAAGTTTGGTTCTATTTATAGACGTTCGTGAAACGTTTACATATCTTATGCAAAAGCTCACGTTTTACATAAGAGACGACAAAAAACAACTTAAGAAGATCTTAAGCAAAAGTTGCCTTTTATTTTTCAGTGAGAGGCGGACTAACCTTACGCGAAGCAATCAAACTCATGGAGATTATTCACTCGACGGGTCGTTTGAGAGCGCTGGATCTCGTTGAAATAAATCCGGCTATAGGAAATGATTCTGATAGAAAAAGGACAATCGAAGCGGGTCTTTGCATTTTGAAAGCAGCTTTAGGATTCTCGAGGAGAGGCACTAGTCCGCGTGGTGCGACGGACTTACCTGTGCAGACGCATCATAACTAACTTATTTATATATAACCGATTAAACCGCGCTATTTTCAATTATTTTATTAACTTTACGGTCTTTCTTTATTTTTGTTTCTTTTCTGCTTTCGATAGATACTCAAAGAAACTGCGAGGCACTTTTTAGGTTTAAGTTTTACTTAAATGCCTAAACAACGAGCGACAATGACAAACGTCCAAAACTACAAAATTATCCGAAATAGCCCATGTCTTTAATAAATTTTAGAATTATCAAATATAGTTGCATAATTATATTCGATAATTTAAAAGCTATTTAAATTTAAAAAAAATACGACACTTGCGGAATCAGGCATCCACAGCATTCCGTGCTGCTTTTCTACTCAATTGTGCTACTGAGAAGGCTGTGTGTAGCGAAGGTACTACATAATGTAGCTAAGGAAACTGCACACGCTATTTATGTGTGTGGTCGTGCTACATAGCCACACACACACAAGTACAATATGTTTTGATGACATCTCAGAATTATCCACACTAAGTCATCTAACGGGGCCAGGCTGCTGTTACTAAGTGCCTATAATGTGAATGCCGGTTCAAGTCCCGCCTGCTTCAAACAAACAAACAAAAAATACTTTATTCGTACTGGTTCGTATTTTTTTTAATCTAGTAGATTTAATTTTAATAATGCCATGTCATGTGTCAACAGCATTGGAAAAGAGTTAAAGTTGCCTACATTATAAAAAGTATACCTAGCAATAATTGCGTTTTATAAATCAGCGAAGTTTTATTTCAATTATTTTTCTTACGTCACGATAACAATCGATTTTAATTTCCTATGTGAAACATTAAAACTGCTAACTGTGACTTGTGTTTGTTAAGAATGGATATACTTTTGTTGCAGTGTATAATATTAATTGTAAGATTTTCTTTTTAATTCATCTTTTAAATATATTTAAAAATAAACTCTCATACACTATATTCGTTCTCTTCCGAAAACGAACTACATATTTATATGTGTTGTTTAAAATTAAAGAAGTGTTAAATACTGTCTATAGTTTACGCGAGTAGTACACATTTAAATAAAACACTTTAACGGTTTAAAACGCGATATATTAGTTAAACTTATTTGAAAATGATTTTTAACTTCGGCCCGACGTTTCGGATGCCGTGGTCACGGGGGGACACGGCTGCTGCAAAGCATCCGAAACGTCGGGCCGAAGTTAAAAATCATTTTCAAATAAGTTTAACTAATATATCGCGTTTTAAACCGTTAAAGTGTTTTATTTAAATAAATAAAGAAGTGTTTTTAATTAGCTGAAAAAAGCCCTAGCTTTTGTGCGTCCATACAACCTCGGCGTCCCCATGGCACAGTAGTAAACGCATTGCACATAGCATTGCCTTAACCACGTGCACCTTGATTTGAATCCCGGAGAAAGACACTACAATGTACAGCCTTAAACTCTGGATCACGACTACTGGATTGCAAAAACGGTTTTTATTGAACAGACACAGAAATGTGGCTGTCTTTCTAGAGACACGGCTCATTACATGTAAACAAATTTGTAATTTTTCAGATAATTTCGGCATCCTTCAAAATAAGCTCTTGCTTAGAAACAAAACAAGAGAAAGAGAGTGGAGAAGAAAAGAACGGAATGAGAGCCATAGCCGACAAGTACTTTTCAAAAATTTCGAATATTGAATCGAAGTACATAATTAACGAGGGATTATCCAAAACGATATCCAATCTGTTACAGGGAAAAGTGAACGCTTTCCCTCTTTACAAAGTTAGTCTTTCTTTAGATCGGAAGCCAGTAAAAATACCATGGACCTTGGACTTAGCTAGTCCACTTGATGACTCACATTATAAGAAAAAGTTTAAGTACCTGAAAATCAAAAAGGTTCCTGCTCCAGGGAATTAAAAAATGCAAATAAAACTTAACATGATTTTATTGCTTTTTTATACAGTTTCTGTAACCTCTAGTTCTTTACAACACACTTTTGCAAGAGTATAATACAATATTTCATATAGGGCAAAATAAAATAAGAAAACGTTTTTGACAGTTCGAAATACAATAAAACACATTTCGCTAGCGTAGCAGTATTTGGATTTGATATTAGGGATCATCGCCATGTTTATTCCCTCCATTACGCACACGAAAAATGAACTAACGCCAATCTTTTGCGTTTTAAACAGTTAGTAGAGTTTTATTTAAATATAAACTACAGACAATACTTGATACTTCAATAGTAAATACTACAAAATAACAGTGTTACATCAATTACATCTCTTTAATGGCGCCTAAAGTTTATTATTGCAAATTTAATTCACTCACACATAAGCACACTATATTTTATATAAGCACTTATTATAATTTCAGTTTAAAAATTATAAGTATAGGAAACAGTTGGAAATTAATACCAATTAAAAGAAAAAACCTTGGTAGTAGAATTTATTAATAAAAACAGTTTTAGTCCATACTCAAGACAATTCATTTGAAATTGGATATAACTAAAATGTTCGTTCGTTCACAAGAATTTATTCTTTCGGTGAAAGATTTCTCTTTCCGATGAATATAAAAATTAAACAAATAATTTGACAAGGTGGTACTTAGTTTGAACTGTAGCCTTCACTAAGCTATAGACACACATATTCATAGCTATAGCAGCACAATACAATTTTAATAAGAAATGTAGCACACTAGAAGTTAACTTGGGGACGGTAATGTTTTTGGAATTTGTTGTTCTTCATAGACATCTTCATTTGCCACTTGGCCTGAACTCGTTTCATGAAGTGTACATCACGAGCATTCCTGTAATTATATTAGGAGATAATATTAGTGTTGAAGAAATTGAAGTACCATTGGGCTAGAAACGAAAATCTAGGGTTTGAACCTTATAGAAGCAAGAAATTGTTTTGGTCGGGCAAATAAGCTAATTGCTTCAGAATAACTCTCTAGGGAGGCTCATTTTTTTACTACTATTAGAACCTATGTACGGACCGCCTCTGTAACAAATGGTTATACGCATTGCCTAGCAATGCAAAAAAAAAACTGAAAAATTGTTTTAGTCGGGCAAACCACAGAAGTCTCATCAAGTAATTGATTGTTAAAGAACGGATCAGTGAAACGGACAAAATAAAATGTGTTCGCCCTTTGAGGAGGAAACGGGACCTATATCTAAATATTATGTAAAAACCTTTTGTATGCTCGGCTGGCTAAATACCGAGAAGCGCTAAACCAGTAGATCTGAATTTGGTTTTGAATTGTTGACCATCAAATTAAATTATGTACATAAATTAATATAAGCATAAATTCTCCACAACATAATTTCTTACATTACTGCACTCCTTAAGTTGAAGGAACTTTATCAAACACGATATATTAAGAGAATGACATAAACCAAAGATTAATTTATTATATTACATTCAAAGGACTAATGGCACCGATTGAGGCAACTAATTAGTCATAAACACAAGATACCAAATAGGGGTCACAATAATGTATATAATATGTTGTTTGATAAGAATATTTCTTTGCACTTTTTTATGATAAAGAAACGGGGTTCATTCGATGGTAGGTTAAGTATTCTGACTTTGGATATTCGGAAATCAAGACTGAATTGAATCAACAACCTTTTGATCATTTAGCCAAAGGTTCCTACCATTAAATAAAAGAGCCTGTTATAACTTTATTTTTGGAATTACTATGAATAATTCATCTTTATTACTTATAATAATAGCCACTTCTGTCGGTACCTTTTAAAGAAGATTTGCCTACAATAATATCTACCCCCATATCTTGCATAGAAGAAAACAGATGTCACTATTAAAGTACCATAGATACTAAAATACATACTTGGCAGCTGCAGCTTGTTCCTTAGGAGCCCAGCCAAGTGCTCGATATACTCCGAGCAAGTGATGCAGTTTACGAGACGACTTTTTAACAACCACTTCAGTACTGGCAGGCAGATGTTGTTTGTAATATCTGAAGTCATATTTACATATTACAACTCTAGTAATCGTTTCCGTACTATAGATGTCAAATGCAATATTGCAAGAGTAAAATAATGATCAACTCATCATCAAAAGAATGGAACAAACTCGGTACTTTTAGAAAGATGTGAACATGCTCTTGACATATTAGACCTAGAAAATTACCTCATTAATGATCTATGACCGATAACAGCACCAGACGGCAACACTAGTTGGTAATTATCCGCGTCTAAAGTAGTTGGTTCTTCTGCTGATTCGTCTACTTCCATGTTTTCATCCCCTGCTTCATGGTCTGGATATGAGGTACTGAAAATGAGTTCCAACTTTAATTTCTACTACATTTTTTTTCTCAAGAAATAATATTGTGTTGGGCTTGTATATACAGTAGAACCCGTTTAAGACGATCACGCTTAATACGATTTCGCGCATAATACGCCAGTTCCTGCAACTTGACACATATTTTCATACATTTCTTAACGCTTAATACGATTCGTCATCCCGTTTAATACGCCCGAAAGCCACCTAACCCAGAGGCCTCCTACTAGGCCGCACACCGTTGCCGCGGTCGTCATTTCTTGTAAATATTTTAATTGCTAACGCACCAAAATCTTTCTGTCAAACCAAAATTAGTGATTATTTTGAATAATATTATTATTATGAGCCTGTACTGTCCCAACGTCAGCAGTGGCACTTGCTCAGGCAAAAGCCTCCCTCCTATCCTTATCTATCCCTATCTCCGCTTTTTGCGATCTGTTTTAAATAATATCATTATGTATAATTACTTAAGTACTTAGTGTACATAATTTATAACTATATAATTTAATGCCTATGTTTACAGTACCAAAATTAGAATAAAATACATAAAAATATGCTTTACGTTGTACTTTCCCTATTCCGCATAATACGCTTAATCTCGCTTAAGACGCGTTTTTGGTATAGTCCCTGAGAAATCTTCTTAAGCAGGTTTTACTGTACATAGATAAATTTAAAATATGTGTTGGTTACACATAAATACCCCATATAGCTGGTCTACGAAGACTATTACAATAGTAATATTTGAGATTGTAAAATTTTGATATTATTTACCTGAAAAAATATTGTGCAATAGTTTGAATTCAACTTTTTAAACATCAAAAATCAATTCAAGGTTACCTATTCCAAATAGACAATTGCATCATAATTAGTCTCATACCTATAGTCATAATAATCTGAATACTCTGCTAACGCAAGTCCTTCATGTAGCATCTTACAATGCCCTTTATCGACCATGTGAGCCTGTGCAGCGTCCATAGAGTAGAATGTCCTACCAGCTTCATTGCACCATAAGCACATAAATCCTTGTGAAATCTACGAACAAATTAAAAATTGTAGTAATAATAACTCTTGAATTACACTTGATAAAGTTATATATATTTACCTTTTCCCCTAAGTATAATAATAGGCCTTTTAGATCAACACAGTATTCAACGTCTGGGATGAAGAAGGAATGTGCAACAGACATGTGTTTCAAATTTTTCACCATACTTTTACTATGATGACCACAGAATAAGCAATCCTGGGGTTTTATTAGGGAATCACTACCCTTAACTCTAAATTCATCCCATTCATCGGAGTCAAGCTGCAAGAAAAGTGTTAGGTAAATTATTTAATCTTGAACGTAAAACAAAATATTATAATGTTAAAGAAAAAGTTGTACCTCTTCAATTTCTGAATCTGTTTCAATATCCTCATCATCACTATCAACATCACCTTTGACAACAACAAATTTCTCCTGCTTCAGGGGAGGCCTACTTTCTATCTTTTCAAAACTGTTAGAATCTGAACTACTCTCCTCATCTTTCTTTTCAGATTCTTGGTGGATTTTCTGTTCAGCTAATTTGTGCTTTTTGCTGTTCAAATGGTTATTGTAAGCATTCTTTGTGTTGAACAGCTTTGAGCAGCATTTACAGTAAACCGATTCGTCTGTGTTTTCATTTTCAGCTTCTCTGTGTTCCTTAGCACGTTGTTCAAACTCCTCCAACGTCACAGGAGGGATGCCAGCAACTTTTCTCTTCAAATTGTATCTATGCCAATCCAACTTGTAATGCTCTCGTTGAAATTCAGCAGATTTAAAGAGCACCTGGCATGTTATACACGTGAACGTATCAGGCATGATGGTATTATGAGACTACAGTAATGAATTAAATAATATATCACAGGACAACGAACACGAAGTTGCACGACTATTCTATTACTTAGTCACACGAAAATGTATACAGGAATGTGTTAACTCAAGTTTATCTCTAACTAATTTAGAAAATTTTAAATACGTATATGTGACAATGTATAAAATATATGAACTGATAATTGAGGAATGACGAATATGTTGATTATATGACAAACTGTCAAGTGTCAACTGTCATTACTTGATGTCTCTCATCGTCGATTTTAATACACATAATATACAAAGAATAATATGTCAACTTAATTAAATGGTAATTATTTGTACGAATATAATAAATTTATACAAACATAAATTAAATTAATAAATAATTAATACTAATAGAGTCATTTCAAAGGTATTTTGGGTCGCTTAAAAATAACCTAACCGATATTTTACGTCATTTATAAGGTCTAAACATTGAACTTGCTACTAATGTCAAGATTATCATAAATACAAGTTCGTGATGGCATGTTGTGGGTGAAAATAATTTCTCTTACAGAGACAAGTTATCGTAAAGAATCAACAATACACGAAAGGACTATAGTGCTAAAATGTTAGAAACAAATGAAGTTGATGAGGATCTCTTTACTCCAGCACCAGGGTAAGTAGGATAATAAAACACATTTCTTAGATTGATTTGAATAATCAATTGCCAGTGTCTTTTTTCAGAACCTCTTTAGCAAACATATTTAATAATGATGAGATTGATTTAAATGAGGGAAATTCGACATTACAATATGTGCCACAAATACCAACTCAAGTGTTGGTTCAAACGTCCAATAATACCGCTGATATATCTAAAACATCAACAAGTACAGAATGTGTATTTGCAACATCAATATCAGCTTATGAGTGGTAAGAAGATTTAGAATATAATAGACTTAAACGAATAATGGATTTTACAATAATATTTAATCAGTAAAGATACCATTACTTTTAATTACAGGGTGGATAACAAGTATAATCATAGAGAGCATTTAGGCATTGCTTTGATTAAGTCAATCAAAGATAAAACACACTCCTTAATCATATACACTTCTGGAAAAATTACACTCTCTCTTGCTATTATATCTCCATCTTTTCATGTTGATGTCAAGAAAGATGTCAGTATATCATACTATGATAATTCCAAGAAATACTGGCTTATTTGTGCAGCAGCTAAAAAAATTCAAGACTTGGTGTCGCATTTAGCAAACCTAAAAGTTAATATTAAATATTTAACACATCATGAAAAGTCATTAGTCATTGACAAGACATTATCAAAACAACAGTTAAGTGAGTCTTTAGAATTCGATACAGACTCGTCTAAGGATAGAAGAGATAAAGATTCTATTATTCGAAGAATGGCAACTATGGGACAATCTGTATTGCCAATTCATAAAAATATACCCGTACAGTCTACAGATTCATCTGATATTGACGATTATCATCGCCCACCTTTGCCTCGACACAAACCTACTAAAAGTATCTCAAAAAAAGAAAAGAAAGAAACTACAGGAATAAGTGATTTAAGGATAAATCATACAGAAAGAGAGGACCTTCATAGAATACAAGAAAATAATACTGTTATTTCTAATGTAGATAATGTTATTAAGTATGATACAAATCTTAATGATTTAAGCAGTTTTATATCCGAACAAAGGTTAAATAACAGTGAACTCAGAATTAATGTGAATAGATTGACAGAAAAAGTTGACAACATATTAGGAAGGACATCTATTAAAGATGCAGGCGTTCAACAGACAACTCAGCAAAGTGAAATTGTGTATAAGTTGTTAAAAGAATATGAAATTAAAATTTTGACATATGAACAATTTATAAAGTCGAAGGGATTTGATTGCAACTTATTACTTGCAAGTGATATAATAAGTCGAAGTTCTGAAACTCCAGAAAGTAACAATTTAGAAGGTAATCAAAGCAGCAAAGAGGATACTAAAATTGAACAGCTGGAGACTAAAATTCAAGATCTTACAGATACACTATCACAAACTATAGATAAATATAAACAATATGAGACTTCTTTATTAAATGATATAACTGTTCTCAAACAAGACTTGCAATGTAAAACAGACATTTTACATGATATAAGTACAAATACACAAATGTTAATTAACAAAAGCTTCAATAAAGAGGATTATAGTATAAAATTAAAATCCATAATGAATAATACTTATCAAATAATATCAAACAAGTTTGATGATGAAACTAATTATACAGGAGGTGATGTGAAAAGTATAGTTGGAAAAATAATTAAGAAAACCACAATTGACTCATTACATGATGTTGACAAAGAAATAAAATAACAAAGTATTTACATTTTATATGATCATCTTTATATAAAAGAGATATAAAAGAGAAATAATTAATGTGTTGCTAAAAATAAATTATTATTTATAATATCATGTTTGTTTGTCTCCTGTTAAGAATTAGAAATAGACTCTTTTATATGTTACACAAATATTGCTACTAATCCAATACTATTATTTAATGTTACCTGCACCACCCCGAAAAATATTAACTAATAATTTATATTATAAAATAAAAACTATCCGTCTGCTAAGATTTTTTTTATGAATTTGCGCATTTAGGCCTGTTAAGATACTAATGTTAGAGTTTTTAGTTTGGAAATATCTGAAAGATAGTTTGGTAACGGAAGTCGCAGATCGTCAGGTTAGTACTTTTAAATAAAACCAAAGTTCAAAACTAATCGATATTACCTCAAATTGACTCTTATCCAAGTCTTTTGGCTGCCAGTAATTAATCTGTTGACAACGTGGATTGTCTGTGGTAGTAATATTCTGTGAAGTTCGACCATCCGCCATCGCTAATCTGATATAATATATAACAGACTATATGTGTTTTGTCACAATTTGGTCACAAAATATAAAATCTATTTCGATTATGAATTTCGTTTCATAAATATGTAACTTTATTTACTTATCGTATTCAATAAAGTTTAGTTAACAAGGAGTTCATATATATGTATCATTAAAGTTACTTTCTTGATTAATTGAATTACTATGGACGATTTATCATCTTCAATTGACCAATACAAAAATCAGGTCCCTATTAAGTTATCGTCTTTAATATGTAATTGTACACAAATTATGTTTTTATGGACTTAAAATAAACAATATGCTATTACATTTTAGTTATCAATAGTTAAACAAAGTCTCGAGACTTGTAATAGTCCCGAAGAACGGAAATCGCTACTCGATTTAGAGTCAGAACTGCAACAATTAATTGATCTAACACAAGAAAGTATAGATGCATACCAGCAACAGAGTGGGAAAAGCCCTGAGAATACAGAAAAACATGAGCTGGATGATGAATATGCACTCTTCATGGTAAATAATAAATATTGGGAAATATATAACATTTATATTCATTAATTTTTAAGATTCAGTAATATTGCTTTATTTCAGCAAGAAATGGCACAAAGTGGGGCCTATGATAAAAGTGAAGATGTAGTAGAAAAATCTACAGAAAATAGTCAAAATGACGACAGTGATATTGAGGTAATAAATACTAGTATGATAATATTAAGTATATTATTGTTTTAGATTAAACTAATATCCAATAGTAGAAAATTTGATGCTCAAGAATTAAATCTGGATAAGAACTGTATTTTCTGTCTAAGTTCAAAAGTTTATAATTTCTTTAAAGCATAAAGAATTTGTGTCATGTTGGAATAGTTTTTACATAAGAAAACTTCTTTGATGTATACAAGCTTAAATTATAAAGATTATGTTAAATACTGTTTATAGTTTTCCCGAGTAGTACACATTTAATTAAAACACTAACGGTTTTAAACGTGATATATGAGTTAAACTTATTAAAAAAATATCTTTTAATTTCGGCTTGACGTTTTGGATGCTTTGCAGCAGCGGTGGTCAGGCGGAGACTATATGGGGAGATAATTTTCAAATATGTTGTTACTAAAATTATTGCAAATCTATTTAAGGATGAACTGTCATCTCTACTTGGTATGAAATGTGCTGTATACCACACACATTCATGGGGTGGAAAAAGTTTACATAATGCAATGGTGAGCTCGGTGATGCCCAGACAAGAAGAAGACCAGTTTGGAGATTTACAAGTATGAAGTATAAATAATATTGCATTTAAAAAATTTGGTTAATTACCTATACTTTACATAAACATTTCATAGGTCCGTGTATTATTTACCCACCCCACACATACAGAGATGTTGCCATGTCCATATTTTTTAAATGGTGACTGCAAGTTTGAAGATGAACAATGTAGGTGAGTTTGTAACTTAACTGTATTTGTTTTAGTTTCATTAAAACTGTCGGATTAAGAAAAAATGTTGATTTGAATTAAAAGAAGACTTATTCCATTCTATTGATTTATAACATTACAGATATTCCCATGGTGCTATTGTACACTTATCTAGTTTAAAGGAAGCCATTGAACCTCAATATGATGCCCTGAAAGAGGGAAGTAGAGTTTTATTGAAAATCAAAGCACCCGATAATGAGGTAAGGAGAAATAAAAAATTTTTTACATAGTAGGTACATTTCAAATTATGCATGTCAATCACCTACATATTGAAAATTTTTATAAGATAAACATAATTGTGGCTAGATATATAGAAAACATAATTTATTTGCTTAAATAGATAATTTACATTCTACATAACATCGTATTTACATACATAATATTGTACATAAATTAATACACAAATATAATAATAAAAAGCAAACGATTTTTAGTTGTAGTGTACAATTTTGCCAGTGAAAATATTATATTAAATGCCCTGCCCACCTAAAATAATTGTATTTTTCCCCGGGGCCCAAACCCAGGGTCTTTCGTCGTTAACGCCAAAGTCTAACCATTGAGCCACGGAAGCCGTCGTTTTATGACCTTTCTAAGTCTAATAATATGTGATTGACCTGAAGGTTTGTATGTTGTATTTTTCAGGATATAACTACCGCAAATAAGTCCACAGAGAAATATCACTTGTGGCACAGAGCTATAGTAATAAGTGTAGATGCAGAAAAAAGATTATGCGTAGCCAAGTTAGAACAACGAATTGCCACTGGAGAGAAAAGAAAATCAACTGCTGAGGAATATCATGTTCATTTCGAAGAAGTATTTCCTTTAAATAGTAAGAATTATTTAATACTAGCTGTGTCAGCGACCTCGTCCGCGTAGAATAGTTATTTTGGGCATCCAAATTCGTTTTTGCAAACCCCTCCAGTTTTATAAACTTTAGTTGTTATCCACGTCTTCGGTCGCGTCCCGTCCCATTCGTTCTTGCAAGTTCATCTTAAGAGATAGACATGTAGCGTCGCTGACTTTTTTTTTGATTGAGAAATCATTCTCTCGTACATTTTTTTTGGTGTATCTTGGACCGTTTTTGCAGCGTACGCCTCGTAAACCCATAATGCCAAATATTTTTCCCAATTTTTTTCACATTTCTCGCTGTATCTTCGCTTGTATTAGTCTCAGAGCGATGCTTTATAGCCTATAGCCTTCCGCGATAAATGCTCTAACCAACATAAATATAATTAATAAATAATAATTTTTCAATTCGACCCCGTAGTTCCTGAGATTAGCGCGTTCAAACAAACAAACTCTTCAACTTTATATATTAGTATAGATTAAAAGAAAGGGATAGTAACATCATTGCGCAAAATCTTCTTGATTATGTGTATAGAAAGGACCAATTTTGTCGGTTTTCTTTTGTCTAGGTCGGTCGTAGATTTGAACCCCAGCTGAAGACATGTTCGACTTGGTCTGGAATCGGGATCTAAAAATGGGTGGTAGGAATATCGAAATTTCGTCCGGGTCACGGAACCACAGTCAACAGATGAAAAAGCCGTGAAGTTTAATCGTGTTTCGGCTTCAGTCTAGATTTCCGAATATACAAAGCCTAAATAGGTCGATAGCGCATCTTGTTTAGATATCATTTATAGATATATATATATATATGTATAAATAACTTAAGTCATGAAATTGAAGTTAGGCTACTGTGCCTCTAGCGGCCTAAATTGAACCCAATGCTTCTCCTTATCATTAAAAACACCTTGTGAAATAATAAGTAGCTTATTTTAACTAGTTCTATTATGTATTTGTGAACTAACTATAGAACTAATTATAAGTCTAAATATTATAAGAAATATAAAATATTTCTAGATGAAGACGATAGTAGTGATTCAGATGAAAGTATCAGCGATACAGAATATCCTGAAAGTAAATTAACTCGCGGGGAATCGAATCCTGCGCTCATAGTGGAGAAGAGCTTGCAGATCAACTCCCCTGCTATAGGGGAATGGGAGCGTCATACTAGAGTGAGTATGTATTACTCTTTCATCTACTAATTGTATTTGATATCCTTAATCTGTATTACGAGAGTAGTACAAATTTAAATAAAACCCATTTGACGGTTGAAAACGCGAAATCTATCGAGTAACTTAATTTTTTTATATTGACATTGGGGATACTCTGCATTTCAAAAATCCAAAACGGCAATTCGAACTTAAAAAAGTTAACCAACATATTACGCGTGTGAAATCGTTAAAAATGTTTTATTTAAATTCCTAATGTTATCAGACACTGGTAAATAAAAACTGAAAGTCCAGTCTGTCTATAATAGCAAACAAACAAATTTATTTTTTTAAAAACCCCTTAACCAAACGTCATAAACTCTATTTTATAAAAGTAATGTTTAACAGGGCATAGGATCCAAGTTGATGTTAGCCATGGGCTATATAGCTGGCTCTGGTTTGGGGGCCAGCGGGGATGGGCGCGTGCAGCCAGTTGAAGCCCGTATGGTACCAGCTGGAAAGTCACTAGACCACTGCATGGCAATCTCTGAGCGAATTAAAGGCCAGGATCCTTTAAAGGTATACTCTTAGTGTGTTATGATTAAGTAATTTTCCTGTTTTAGTTGAAGAAAGTAGTTATTTCCTCTTATATATAGAACTCTCATTTTTTCTAACCAATATTGCGCAATTAAGAGTTTACTTGTATCTAAACAGTAGCTGTGACCGCGACTTAGTCTGCGTGGAATATATTTTGGGAATCAATTTATTTTTGTAAACACCCTCTTAACATTAAAAGTTATAGCTGTTACCCATGACTTCGATTAAAAGATAGACAAATATTTTTTAAGAATAATTCTTTTAAACATATTTTTTTGTTATCTTAAAATATTTTCAAAGGGCACGCAACGAAAACATTGCAAGATAAGCAAGTTTTCCCGTTATTTCAACGTCCCATCTGTTTCTTCGCACCATTCGTCGCAGCCTTATGTTTTATAAAGAACACAAAATATTTTTTTACATCAAAGCAGTGGTTCCTAAGCATAGCGCGTACAAACAAACAAACTCTTCAGCTTCATAATATTAGTATAGGTATGATTTATATTTTTTTGTTTCTAGGTGGAACAACGATTAAAACGCCTGCAGAAGAAAGCAGAGGAAAGAAATAAAAGAGCTTACGAGAGGGAAAAGGAGAAGGAGCGCCGTAACGTCTTCAATTTCATTAATAAAACTCTTGGGGATGGCGCTGAAACGTCTGAAAACTCAACTGTTTCTATCTTAGATGTAAAGCAAAGCACTAGCAAAGATTTGAATATAGAACAGTTTAAACTCGAAGAAGAATCTAGAAGAGTGGAGAACGAAATCGTCAAGTTAAAGAATACACTGATTAAATATCCACCTGGAACTAACGGACACCGGAGTATCGGACTTCAGATATCGGAAAAAAATAAAGAATTACTAACTATAAGGAACAAAGAACAACAAATAGCAAGAGAAAAGAAGCATAGGAAGGACAAACAAAAGATGACGGTTTTCTGAAATACAAGATACACAATGTATTGAAGTATTATCTGTAATTAACTTGCAACATTTAAATAAACTTTTAACTGTTTAAAACGCGAAATTTATTTAGATTATTTACAATTGATTACTGATTATGGCCCGGCGTTTCTTTGATGCCTTTATATAAATTTTTCGCTTTTCGAACCGTTAAATGTTTTATTTAAACACAGTATAGAATTTCTATGGAATGACTTATTTATTTGTTAATGTTTCAACAATATATTGTGAAAGGAAATTAAAACACTACAACAATTATTAATTTCTATATTTACATGTGATTTAGTTTAAAATAAGCGTACATGGCATATAATTACGAATTAATATATGAATTATTTTTCTATAAATTAGATTTTTGTACTATCAAACAATATAAAGTACTTATACATTACGTGGATACTGTGACTAGCAAATAACATTTGCCGGTTAATTTATTATAGTGACAGTGGTCAGGTGTTTAACTTATACACTATACTAGTATAAGAGCTGACAGTCAAATTCCTGACATAAGTGAAGCACTAAGTTTTTTTTTTATGATAAAGGAATGACGAGCATGCGATTCACTTGATGGAAGGTGAAATACCCCAGCCATAACACCTACACAAGATGCGCTGTCGGCCTATGGATATTCGTTTCTTGATTATCAATATTAATAAATAATAAATATGTTAAATACTGTCTGTAATTAACGCGAGTAGTACATTTAAATAAAACAACCGTTTAAAACGCGATATATTAACTAAAACAAATATGTTGTTATACATTCAATATGATTTCGAGCCGTGCCAAATATAGTGCTTATATGAGAAAAATGACTGTCAACTCAAATACCGAAAGGGATCAACGCTTCAAAAGCTCGACGTTACAATTAAAAATATACCGCAAGCATTAAAAATTATTATATCTAATTAAAATGAGTATAGACAACATAATTTTGCACCAATTAACTATATGTGCTACATGAGCAAGACGTTTTTGTACTCTGAGACTGAACCGGTTTTAAAGATCTAATTTGAGAGAATCGTCCAAACTGCGCACACTACGGTATTATAGCACTTTCCCAGTCAATATTATTCTAATTAACAACGAACTAATATTTGCATTGCTGACGCTCCTGTCATGTGATGATTCAGCTAAAACATTATCTATTTATAATGAATCTATTCTATTATCGTTACAGTGTCTCACATTGAGAGAGCTGGAAACTACGAACCATTTATAGAAGTTAGTACGATTAAAATATATCAAATATAAAGCCGACAAATGTCGTCTTCTAACTAAGACGTACCTGTAGTCCCAGCATTGGGTCTTAAGGACTAACTAATAACATAACATACAAACACATTTCAGTAGAGATCTTTAAGTTTGTAATTCAATACACACATTTTTAACTGTTTACACCGTGTTTTAAACCGTTAAAATTGTTTTATTTAAATGTATAAAGTTTATTTGTATAATATTGACTTGCGACCCGAATGAACTATATATATATAGATCTATAAAGAATAAAAGTAATAATAGACTAACATTTCCAGCTTCACCTCAATGTGAAACAGCCCGTACATTAAAAATATCTGCATTGAAATTGTATTAAGATTAAAATTTTCTAATCATCACAGAGGTTTACTAAATTCATCGCCTTGCATCCCGGCTCTCAGACACACATCTCTACAATTATTTATTGGCTAGTTATAATACGATAGAGAGTGACCAAGTAAAGAGAGACTTGTTTGTACTATACTAAACGTAACATAACACGTAAATAAGTACATATGATAGAGTTGAGACTCCTCGACGTTATAAACTACAATGCAACGATGGCTACGGCTTGTGATGTCTTTGTTTGTGATAAAACATGTGGAATCTTGAGATTCAAACCATTAAAACGATAAAGTACAACAGAACTCGATTAGATACAATTTTAATTAACTAACAAAAACAATATGTCGTGTTAAAACTCGTTGAAAATTATAAAATAGACGTACTTATAAGTGCGTATTCAATTACGCGAAGGTGGATAAAATGTGATGATTAATTATAGTATATAAAAAATATTTCGAAATTTAAAATCTTAAACGACAAGTTGTCACTTTCGAGTAATCTTCGAAGCTCTACTTTGTCGATTCTCGTAATTATTCGATTTTCAAACACCTCACAATTGTTCATTACCTCAATATTGAGATAAAATAAGGCCGCGAGAGGCAGAGTAGCCTAACTGCAATTTTATGTCTTGAGTTACTTATATTTTCATGTCATTTTATATAAAAATGATCTTTGTAGATAAATTAGTTTGTAGGTTTGTAACCGAAAATTGTTAACATAATTCTTACACAAATAATAGTACAAATTAATTTTCGTCTAAGTTAATTGTGCATTTTTATTTTCCTCCTTAATGTTTTTTTGTAAGAAGGCCATTCTGCTTCTAGAAACCTCACATATGACAATATCTACTCACAAGACGTTTTGTAATTATACTTTTTTAAACAATGAGAAGCAAGAGATTCTTCTGTGTAGACTTTACAGGCCGCAAATAATAGCTGAAGCTAAGTATAAACAGCAACAAAGATTAAAGCGTTGGTTAGCTGGTTCCATACAATATGTATGAAAACATAGTGACTAAATACTGTCTGTAGTTTACGAGATTAATACACATTTAAATAAAACACTTTAACGGTTTTAAACGCGACATATATTAGTTAAACAATTTGACCCCGTGACCGCTGCAAGACATCCGAAACGTCGGACCGTACTTAAAATAATTTCCGAATAAGTTTAACAAATATATATCGCGTTTTAAACCGTCAAAATGTTTTATTTAGAATTAGTGATTTATCATTGGCCTGTAGTCACATACACCATTCCTAAAGACATTTAAAGTAGAGCTCCCGGATTACTTCTATGTAACTATAGTGACTTTTGACGCCCCTTAAAAACGACTTACACGAGCGGACGGACGTCCAACCGCCTCGTGTTAGTATAGACGTACACACTTTTACCCAACATATTCGAGTTGCTATAGTGTCGCGCGCAATCTGGCAACCACGCAGGCCATAGCTTCGTCCACGTTATCGAAGACGGGGACTGACGCGCGCCGAGCCAAGTCCGTTAGGTAGTGGCGGCCTCGGTTGTAGTCTTTTACTGCCGATTCGCTATACTGTAAAAAGAAGTAGAAACTTTATACATATAGTTAAACAAATTTTGCTTTGTCATAATATCATCTGTATTACGCCAGTTATTGTATTAGCATTTAAAAGACATAATTTCTCTAAAAACCACAAGCTTATCTGTCCTCTATTACAAAAACGCCACACTAGGCTCATATTTCGTCTCTTTCACGCAAGTTTAACTATAATTTGCAGTAACAGAGACAAAACATACACTCGCTATAATCAGAAGGTAGTAACCGTGAATGTTACTTACGTTATGTGCTGCAGTGGGTGGTGGCTGCATCGGCTGCACGATTAGCAGCGTGTTAGCAGGTCGCAGGCCCATATAGTGCGCGGCGAGGACCATCGTGGCAAAGTTAGGCGTCGAGGCGGACATGCAGAACACCAGTACACGCGAACCCAGTAGAAGGTCTTCGTCGTACGTGCCTGCATAACGGAAAACATGACAAGCCATGGAAATACAAAAAAAAATTATGTAGTTGATACCAGTTAAAGATTCTTATCTGTGACTTCTTAAAACAATATTTAGAAAGTAAAAAGAATATGTTTAACCAAATACTAAACTTTTTTAAATAAAACAATATTAAGATTTTTAATTATTATTATTATTTTTTTCTGAATGGACTATTTCGTATTGTGTTCCTAAGGAGCCACGAATACTAACCGGGCGTTTTGGGCGAGCGCGACAGCGCTCGCCGTGTTTGCGGCTAGACCAAGGGTGCCCCGAGGGGGGCATCGGCCTCGGCTTGGACCGCCGCAATGCGGGTGGAAGCTTGAGGAGCTTTTAATTATTAGTTAGGTTCTTGTATAATATTTAGCAGAAATATTCACTTAAACACTTCGCTTTGTTTATTTCTTTCTTAAAAAATTAAAAAATTACCTACTTGACATCTTTCATCAATAAGTAAAAAGATGAAGTTACGATTTCTCTGGATACAGTCTTTAAACTTATATTATATCGGAAGTGGAATCGAGTCATGAACATTCAATAATAATTATCCACACCGATAGTTTAAAGATATCGTAAAGTTTCAAATTTTTAGAGCCGAGCAATTTTTATTTTTTAACTTTTTTTTTACGTACACTATAAGTGTTTAGATTAAAACCTACCCTTGAAGGGTTGCGGCGTTACATCTTCCGAGACTGTATAAAAATCGGAAGCGCTTAGCCGGTCCCCACTTCTTTCCCCGTCCGTCCGGTCACGAAGGACCACATCATCTAAGGGCGAAGTGGGAGATGCTGGGCGTGGCTTCTTGTCTCGACACGGCGATTCAGGATGCGCTGGCGCAGATCGACGGGCGGGCGCAGAAAACATGCGCGTATAGTCGTTCACTCGCGGTATTACATACGTGAACCCCTCTCTGCGTAGGACTTCTTCGGGACGTGTACTGTTGGACTAAAAAAAATAAACTTTTATATTGTTATAATTTTTTTTTTGTTATTAATTTTGTTAATAATTTTTATATTGTTATTAATTTTAGCAAGTAAAAGACAGTTTTGTTTAAATTAATAACACAAAATGTTTATATAAAATGACTTGTATAAAAACAAAAAGTGTTTTTAAAACAACATACCTAACATACTGTATCAAGTATTGTCCGTAGTTTAGACGAGTAGTAAATATTTAAATAAAACACTTTAAAACTGATTAAAACCCGATATATATTAGTTAAATGTGACCCCGACTGCTGTATAGCATCCGAAACGACGAGCCGTAGTTAAATTCGATTAAAAATAAGATAACTAATACATTTCGCGTTTTACACCGTTAAAAGTGTTGTATTTAAATGTGTACCTACCGGCATAAACAGCAGACAATAGTTAATACAACATGTTATTTATAGTACTTCATAAATACTTTTTGTTTATATACAAGTAAGTAAATTTTATGTAATGTCATATATAGCTACCTAACGAAGCATTCGTCCCTATTATATCAAATAATTACACATATTACTCATGTTAATAATTATCAAGTAAACGTGCGTTTCCTTCCGAGAACACGTTAAACATATTTATTGGTGTGACAAATGTCGGCCTAGTGACATCTTTACAATTAGTCAACGTATACACTACGAAACGTCGTCATTGTAAGTATTAGATACTTTTCATAATCTTAAAAAATAATATCCAAATACTTTAAAAGTGACATAGAAATTTAAATATGCCAAAAAGAGATTTTTTTTTAAATCTAACACTTTATCGGTATAAAACGCGATCTATATTAGTTTAACTTATTTGAAAATTACTTTAACTACGGCCCGACGTTTCGGTTGCTCTGCTGCAGCCGTGGTCACAGGTAGACGAAGTTGGTGTTTGCAAAGCATCCGAAACGTCCGGTCGCAGTTAAAATTATTGTCAAAGAAGTTTAACTAATATATGTCGCGTTTTAACCACTGTAGTGTTTTATTTCAATGTGTACACGTCGCGTAAACTTCAGACAGTATTTAAGATAATATTTGTTATGTATTCGTTACTTGCCGTTACAAATACAAAACCCAATCTATCAACGTACTAAGTGGCTTATCTTAAGATTCCTTGAGATTTAAAATCAACGATAAATCAGATAATGAAACAATAAAATTCCGTTGCAACCGTCTGATGTTTCAAACTACCTACAATTATAATAATGTAGATAAATTGCTTCGTTGGTCTGGTAGTTGGTACACTCGACTACAGATACACGTGGGTTCGAGTCCCAGCTGGGCCTAAATAAGCCTTCGGTGTTTATGATTCACGTATGGTAGGCGAAATAGCCAGCCATATAACATCTTAACAAGAAGCGCTGTCGAGGTATTTTGGCTTTGGTTATACGAACATCTAAAGACTGAAAGCGAAACGCGATTTAATTTCGCGTATAAATATTCATCCAACCAACATTTAAAATTCAGATTCCCAGACAAAGCTCAGCATTTTACAGGAAAATTATAGATTCAGCACATCATTGTCTTTCGGGCTATTCGGCCGACGTGAGCGAGAAGAGGTTCTCTTCTGAAGGCCGTGAAAGCCTTACACAATTTATTGTAAATTGTTGAGATAAATATTGTACCCGGTGGACATCGAACCCACGACCCGTTGATTATTGGTCATACATAGCAATGTATAGTAGCAACTATTACACCAACCAATCAATAATTAAAAACGGATGGTATGTGAGAAGAGAGCTATGTTATATTTATGTTATATGATTGGAAACAAAAACAGACAAACAAAACCTTAAATTGTATTGCAGTGATTTAAATAAAACACTTTAACGGTTTAAAACGCGATATATTAGTTAAACTTATTTGGAAATGATTTTTAAAAACCGAAACCGAAACCTCGGGCCGAAGTTAAAAATCATTTCCAAATAAGTTTAACTAATATATCGCGTTTTAAACCTTTAAAGTGTTTTATTTAAATGTGTACTACTCGCGTAAACTATAGACAGTATTTTTATTGCACTGCCATAGTATTAAAACTGCATAAAAGAAACACTGTCTGCAGTTTACGCGAATAGTACATATTTAAATAAAACACGTTAAAGGTTTCGAACGCGTTATATATTAGTTAAACTAGTTTAAAAATTATTTTAACCACGGCCCGACGTTTCGGATGCTTTGCGGCAGCCGTGTCTCCCCCGTGACGTCATAATAATTACCAAATAAGTTTAACTAACATATATTGCGTTTTAAGCCGTTCAATTGTTTTATTTTAATGCGTAAAAGCAGTAAATAACATTACTACCCATCAATTACGCGAGTACCTAGCTTTGAATAAAACTAATTATGCAAACAGTCATATACGAAAGCATTGTGCAAGTGGCCATTCAATAAACTAATGGTCCGTATAAACTATGTTTAGTTACGCAGATCGCTATCTAAACTGCTCACAATAAGTTTTACGTCATTTGTAGCATTAAGATAATTTATCTAGAAATAGTGTCGCAGAAGTGTGACGAAACAAATACTATGTAATATTTTTATCACTACATAGTATAAAACAAAGGCGCATTTTTTAAATAGACAGAACTAAACAAATTTATCCGGTACTTAATTGAATCATTAGTAATTATATGTTGTCTCTGTATTTAATACTATGATAAGCTAGTGCAATCTGAACAGTTTAAACGATTTCAAGATACAATGCACATTATATATCCTCCAGTAGATCAATTTAAGACCGGTTGAACTTCGATTCAAATCTAGCTTTTTTAATAAAACATTTCTATAGGTATTAATTTTTTAAGTTTTTCCTTCAAATACATTACAGGCAATATTTTAAAGTCACTTAGGGTCAGATCTTTTTAAATTAAAAATAGATTACAAATATAAATAAATTACGACTCAGATAGGACATGAACCGGTATTTAACAGCACAGCGTACCGTGCTGTTGCTCTTAGAAAATATAAGCATTGAAGACAATAAGGACCTCATTTTCATATTTTTTCTATTATTTTATACTATTTTTATATAAAAATAAAATACATACTGGGAAAGTCCCGGCAAGGTAAACGTGATGCGTAGGCGCACCCAACATAGCGGGAAGCCGATCGAGTCTCCGTTCTGTCCCCGGCGTGAAGACACTGTCTCCGCTACTTTCACCAGAGCCGGGCGTCGTCTCCCCTGACGTTTTACCGCCATTCTGTAAATATAGAGATGTTGATTTTAGAAAACTTCAATATTTTGAGCAAAAAATAAAAATATTATAGAGAATACTTTGCCTTATCCGGGAATTTTAATTACCTTCTTCAATATATACAATTGATCATTGAAGTCACAGAAATGTGTCTGCCCCATGCTGTATGTAATGAAATTTACCCATGTGATTGTAAGAACACTTAACTACATATATAACAACCGAATCCTGCAGCTTTATAATATTAGTAAAAATTTATTAGACTGTATACTCATCAGGTATGAGTACGTACCTTGGGTATAAATAAGGATAGCTTCTGCCCGTGCGCACGCAATCTGGGATTTCTTGCGTGTAACCCGTTTGTATCTCGCCTCTGCGCAAGCGGCGATACCCGCTCTTGAGCCTTCTCCGAATCACCGCAGGCCTCGTTCTCTTGACCGTTACTCCTTTGATATTCTGTTTCACATAATATGAATTTGAAAATGGCAGATAAAGAAAAAATTAAGCGATAATATTTACTTTTATACCTGCAAATAATAACAAGCTAAATTTATGTACACACGAAAAAGTTTTAAGCGGAAACACATTAGTTCTCGCAAATCAATTAACAAAATCGAAGCAAATAAACAAACAAAATAATCACACCGACATGATTGTTTTCGCAGAATAAAAGTGAGTGATACATCCGTGAACTAGATAAGATAAGTGGGATGCGTTTATAGGCAGCCCTTTGAGTGCCGCGTATTAAGAGTTATAAAGAAATAATATGACTTTTGTTAAGATAACAATATATAAATAAAACACTTTCACGGTTTAAAACGCGATGTATATTAGTTAAACTTATTTGAAAATTATTTTTAATTACGGCCCGACGTTTTAGGTCCTTTGAGTCAGCCGTGGTCGCGGGGAGACCAAAGATAGAGGATGTCTCGGACGTCATAGTAAAAATGCTATGCTGGCGCCATCTGTTCGGTCGAAATTGGTATATGTTGTTTAAGCGTTAAAGTGTTTTATTTAAATGTGTAACACACGCGTAAACTACAGACAGTATTAAAGATAACGATAGTTAATATCTATGTACATGAAGATATTATCGAGCAAATATAAAAACCAAAAGGGGCGAAGCTAAATAAGCAATAAGGGCGCAAACAGACCGGTCGTTGTAGGCGACGTGATAAAATCGCGAAGGTATCTAAACGCGCGGCGAACGCGCGCCGCTACACTCATACCAGAGCTACGGCGGGGCCCTAAGTGTCAACACAGTCATAATTAAGAAATACTACGTAGTAACTCTTAAAAGTATAGTAATGGAGATACGACAATTCATAACATTTTCTTTAAAGTCTTTCAGGCAAGATGTAATTATTATTTTTTCTATAAAAAGTTTAAAAGCACGTTTTATTTAACTGCCACTATGGTGGCTATTAATATACAATGAACGTTTTATTGCTAACGTTTTAGATTCTTCTTAGCTCAGTTTTATCATATATATATGATGACAATTACTATGACTAAAAACGTATTATAAAAATTATAACTTACCCGCATCTGCTGCTAGTTCAGCCACAGCCGCACAGAACGTTTCAAAATCTATCGTATCGGCATTCGGCGGTAGGCAGCGTTCGGCTAGATCCCTAGACGCGCGCGTCGCATCCTTCAACGCGTCGATAGCGCGCGTGCGACTCAAACGGGTGTTTCGGCCGCCTGCCGCGTCGTACGCTCGCTTCAAGCGCAGGATTGTATGGCCTAGCGAATGCCTCGGATGCGTTCTGGCGCCTCGCAGGACTGCTCTAGCGCATCTTAATGCGGCTGGGATATCCGTGAATGCTGGCAAACCTCGCCTCTCCACCACTTCTTGTAATGTAGCTCGAGCTCGGGACAACTCAATATACTCCCTGTAATGTTCGAAAACATATATTAAAATATTTCCTATAGTAGAATATAAATATAATACTCTGACTTAATACAGAGAACCTTTTTTTATAAATAACTTGATGTTAAAAACTACCAGTTGAAAGTATCGATAAAAAAAATTTATAAGTTTTTATTTCATAGAGTAAACTTTTTTTACATGATTATTTTACTAATTCTTTACTTCCCAGATATATATTTTTCTCATACTTTTTTTTTTCGATGTAAAGTTCTCGAGTTAAGTAGGTAACTTTGAAATAAGTGTTTCAACAAAACAACTACAACAAAATGAAAAGTGAATCTTACTAAAATCATTCACATTTGTATAGCGTTTTTTCAATCTTAACACACCACCATAGATTTGAAAACTTTATTCCATTCGTCATTTATACAGATTGAAGAACTTTGACACGGGCGGGACTTGAACTGGCGTCTACAATGTTTAACTTACTGATCTGAAATCGTCTCCCTGCCAATGCATTGGTGCCTGGAGTATGGTCTCAATACGAGCAGCAAATCCCTTGGAGCTGCAGCTAAATGTGCTGCTTCCACACAAGCAGCGACCGCTCGCGTTTCACTGTCTAACACAAAGAGGAGCGCACGCGCCTCCGCTTTCGCGCGGTGCTCCACTTCTATCAGTTCCGTCGACCAGTCGTCTACTTGCTGAAAATAAAAATATTATAACTGTTAATTACATAGCGGGCGTGATACAAACCTAATTTAGTACCTACTCCTTTCACAAGTGATCATTCAATTGTTTTTTTTTTGTTTCATTTTTAGGCGAGCATTTAAATCAAATATAGTCATCGTTGATATTATTAATCAAGCATTCATAAATATATATTAACCTAGATAAAACTTCTGTTACATTTTAATTAAATATTTGACGGTTTAAAATGCGGAACATTAAGATATGTTTCTTTAATTTTTACAATGATAATTTAAATATTACATACTTATTATATACTTCGTATGGTATTGGTATGTTTCGGTTAAAAATAATCTTAAATCAGTTGCAAATAAGTGTCTATATATCAAATTAATTCTATCATTAAATCTGCATCCAGTGTAGTGTTATGAAAAAAAGAAAAACATTTTTAGGATCCCTCAAAGGTTCTTTGTTTAAATCGTCTTTACAATAAACATCTAATTTTAATATACGTACTGTGTAACCTTAAAACTGTCGTGAAACATATAAAACTAGTGTGTTACTAAGTTACTTAACGCAACATTGGTCTTGGTGTCCGAAAAAATTAATATACATTCGCACTAATACGTAGTAATTTTTATCAGCATATCAGATGGGATATAACATAAATTATGTCGTAGCAAGGACGAACGTGATGAACCTAAAATCAATACGTATAGAAACGTGTCCGAAACGATTTTCGAAATTAACGTAACGCAATCACGTACGGCGTTCGGAATGTATCAGGGGATCACGCGCGCCCAAATTCCGGTCACGCAACACTTATATTGTATCTCAATAGGTCCTACGATAGTATAGGTATTTGATTTTTTCGCCACTTCACGCACCGTTTAAACAATGTTATACAGTGCTCTCCTAATTTTTTGGCCGCAAAGAGCAGGTATGGCGGTCGCGCTAACTTCAGCCCGGCCAAAAAGTTTGGAGAGAACTGTACCGTCACTGCAACGCCTCATTAAATATTTGAATTAGCAAGTAGTAGTTCCAATGTATTAGTGTCGTACAGTGGGGCAAGTCTCCTGAGGATTGGGGCTTCAATACCACTCTACTCCAGTGCTCTTCAGGGCACGGGTAGGGGGCGGGGGAGGTGTCTCCATCTACTTTCTAATTCCGAACTGGATTTGTTCAAAATTGTAATTAACGAACAGTTATGAAGTACACCCGAGTCTAGTAAAAATTAGAAAATCAATCTGTATGTTGCTTTGATTAAAACCATATGCAAATAATACTAGACGCAAGATTATCTCTTAGGATAAAAAAAAACATGGACGGGACTCAAACTTACAGCTTAACGTAGGTACTATTGCCCTCTCTATATAATAAATTTTAAGGTATAATTCAGCTTTTTATAAAAAGGCTGCATTACTGATAAATTACTAATTATACCTTAATTTGAATTATACAATAGTATATGACATTATTGTACTTTTGTGTCCCGCGCAATTATTCAGAATCTTTGAAAACTTTCACACTTTATCTTCGTAACACAAATCTCCACAATAATCGGAATTCATTTTTGTTTATCTAGAAACGTAACGAAGTGACGATATTTTTCACGGTGACAAGAATAAAGTGATTTTTGGAATGGGAATAGCGTACTGAACATATCTAGAATACCAATCATCAAATTGCTCTAAGCTGTAACGCGTCTGACGATATAGGACCCGGGCAGTGACAGATGTCATTTGTTGTAAAAATAATTTAAAGTATTTTTTCTTCTATTTTCGAAAGCAAATTTATTGCATTTTGACAAAGACTTCTATTTTAATTTTTTTTTAAAATCGAGTACGACGTTCTGTGACTGCCTTAGATATTGAGCCAACAATTTTTTTTCTTGTTTTCGATTTAATTACCTGACTTACTGACCCGGCAAGCGTTATTTTGCCATATGAATTATTTTGACAGAAATTTGATTACCACAAAACGGCTCTTGTGAGTCAATCATAAAAGATAGACATATACTGTCGCGGACAAGAAGAATAATTCTTTGTAACATATTTTTCGGTTTGTTAAGCCGTTCTCTCAGCGCGCGCAATGGAAATCCTCAAAGATTAAGAAGAAGATTTTTATCGCAAGAAGATTTTTTTCCTTTTTTCACATTTCCTAATATTTCTTCCCTCCTATAGCATGATGGTTTATAGCCTAAAGCCTTCCTCGATAAATGTTTCAACCAACACAAAAATAATTTCTCAATTGAAAGCAGCAGTTTCTGAGATCAGCGTGTTCAAGCTAACAAACAAACTCTTCAGCTTTAATTTAATATTTGTATACTTCCACACTCATACGAACTCAAGCGCACATAAATGAACCAGAATTCTCCTACTTTAGTGGTTTAGTTTTATAAAATTAGACTTACAGGATTAAAATAAGTGATTCCCATCTTCTTGAGCATCGGTATCGCGATATCCGACCTCCACGTAGTTGGGTTGCAGGAACCGCCCAAGAACACCTCGCACGGCGCTGGCGACGCCTCGCTACCTGCGCAAACGTCATACATTATACCGACACATAGCATTACCATAATCATGTATCGTGAATCATATTAACCTTTACAGCGTATTAGATATACAGTGGTTCGATTAATAATTTATAGACGCGATTTTATTTTTACTCGTTTTATCTGTAGATAATACACGAATAAAAGAAATTTATCACTTGAAACTGCTTGTAATGCAAAGTTTGTTACTTAATTTGCCGTAGTCAAGGGGGGAATCATCGTTTCGGCTCCTTAAAGTTTATATCAAACGTAGTCATAGGGGGGGCACAAATAAATTCTACAATCTTCCGATTTTAATATTAAAATCTAATTAACTTGTAAGGGGAAATGTGTAACTGCAATTTCCCTAATGATTTTATAGAGTGGGCCAAAAAAGTTTTGTAAATAGTATCTGCTCTATAGTTTTATATCTTTATCAGCGGTGAATCCCAAATGTATTTATATTGAGCGTGTCCGCCGATATTTATTGTAGGATTAAAAATACGACACGCAATAAACTCTCTATCTTCGTGGTCGCGAAGGCGGCGCCTACGGCAATCCAGTTTTTATAATATCGTATTTTAGAGGTCGCCAACTGATCCAGTGACATCATCGGTTTACTACACACGGCTCCGTATTATCATATAACTACATATAGATAGTACATATGGAAATAGGCTACGTTTCAGAAATAAAATATTCCTTAGAATAGTCGAGATGTGGGAAGTAAGGGCAAGTCTATCTTCGTGTAAATTCAGTTGAGAAATATAGGATTAGTTATTTTACTGAGAAAGGAGTACAGACAATACTTAACTAAAGAAGCTTTGGTTTTATAACCCGAAATACTTGTAACTGATAAGATATCGCGTTTTAATTCGTTCAATCTTATTTAATTTCTTATACAAGATTGAAGATACTGTCTATAGTTTACGCGAGTAGTACACATTTAAATAAAACACTTTAAAGGTTTAAAACTAATATATCGCGTAAGTGTTTTATTTAAAAGATTGATGGTACGACCAAGAGCCTATTTTGGACTTGCTTTACCAAAAAACAAGTTCTGCGTTTGTTTATTAAATTCATATAGGCGTCTTATGAAGTATTTTCTTTAAGTTTCACTTCCAGGGATTTTACTGTGATTTTTTTTGACAGAGGTAACAACAGACAATAATCGGGTTCATTTGACGAAAGTTGAAATGCCTCAGCCATAGGACATCTAAACAAGTTCTGGCTTTAGACATTAGGACATTATTCACAGACTAAAACGCAATTTTTTTTTAACTTTAGACGGTAGTGCGAGTCTTGGATGGCGTTTTGATATTTCTACAACCCATAGACGAGGCCTGGCTCGTCTGAAAATCTAGACATTTCTAGATTTTTTTTGTAAAACGAACCTTAACGCGTGGGTGTTAGCCATAAATTGCTTCACCAGACCAACTGCAACGCGCCAGTCATTTATTTACAAGACTAACAAATAAATAATAATTTTGCAGCATCTGTTATAAGATTAATACTCTACACGTAGGCGTGGCAAGTAATTATTCACGTATCAGATTCTAAAGGAAGTGATCACGCGTTCGAGAGAACCCACGCGTCGAAAACAACAAATACCGTGTCTATATCTACGTCAAAGATTAACCATCAAAAATTTATAGCTTAATATTTTTGATGAGCTTGTTGGTCTAATGGTAGCAATGTCTGGCTAATGATCAAAGGGCCATGAGTTCGATCCCCACCGGGTCCAACGTGTTTTTAATATTTCAATTTATAATTCTTCGGAAACATGTTGGACTTCTGGAAACTTCCGTCCGACTCACGAACCACCGTCCACAGATGAGAAGCCGCGAAGCTTAATCGCGTTTCGGTTTCCGTCTGTGGACTTCCTAATATCCAAAGTTAAAATAGGCCGACAACGTACTTGTTTAGATGCTATAGGCTGAGGTATATCACCTACCATCTCATATCATTAAAAAAAATACAGATGTTATGAGTACTCTATATTGTCAAGTACGCGACGTACAATGCAGTTGAGATGAAACGTTTCTGTTATTAGTGCACAATTAAACTGGATTGAAACAATACGCGATATTGAATAGGACTGTTAATTGTTGACAATTATGCTGTGGGCAGTACAAGCAATTAGCGTTAGGAACAACTCTACTATAAACTAAATTCCAGAGCTTGCGAATTATAGGGCTTAATTGACTTGATTTAAGACTCTAAAGGGCCGTATGTTTAAGAAGCGTGGCTTGGAGTCGATTCCCACCAAATAAAATTAATTTCTGATTCAGCTAAACACCATAGTCGGAATGTTAAGATTAACCGGATATTGGGAATATCGGAATTTCATCCGTTTTTGGATTTGCAAAGGCCCAAAGAAGTAGTCTGTCTCTTCATTCGTGGTTCAATAAAAGATATGTAAGAATCAACATTCCCTTCATTTGGCATTCAACGTCTGACCAGCAAAAATCTATCACTGCCCGGAAGGCATATAAATGGAATACAGGCACCAAAAATAGGCATGACTAATGTCATGATACACCTCATTTTAGAAAGTACTGTGAGGTGAATGCTCCATGGGGCCGTGTGTGATGACTGATGATTGACTGGCTTTGCGTAGGCAAGCACGATTTCATCTACTAACGAATATCGAATTGATGACTTTACGAGAGCTTTCACATGTGTGTAAATCAATTTTAGCTTTAATACGCTAGATGCACCCGCGTTACAACAAAGAGGCAAATCCTAAATGACATAAGATATCGCCAACATGAGTCTATCATCAATAATTACAGCGACGTAACTCGACATCATTATATTAGAATTGCGATCTACAAACGATAACATTCGGTAATCTTTTATCACTCTTGAGAATTGCCCCTCAAATGTATGACGAAAATTCTTCAAACACTGACAACTTTACGCGTAAAATAGTGACAAACATACATCCATCCACAACCGCATAAGCACGAAAACTAATGATACACAATACACTAAATGTTTTGAATGAAATAAGTCGATGTTGACACTCTGAGCGCAAATTGTGGCGCGCGAGATCCAATTCCGTATCAACATCCAATGCCAGAATTGAAACGTAAACAACGCGTGGTCAATAAACGCACTTGAAATAACAGTATTCACACATAACTCGCACAATCTTAATGGCCATCATAAAACTATAGAGCAGGCCGATGCCACAGTAGCACAGAAGCACTAGAGCATGGCATATGGACGGGAGAACGCACTACTAACTATTTCATTGATTTCTCTCTGTCGTTGATAGTATTGTATGATAGGAATGTTTACGAGTGTCTGAGACGCACAGGGCACTAGCATGGTGGTCGGTGGCATGGTTGCGGCTGTGAGGACACTCGCGCCAGCGCGCGCTGTTCCGACTGACGGTCGGCGGCCAACTGACTTTGAGCCCGTAGCGGCCAGCACCTCGCCCCACGAGCTAATTCCGCATTTTAAAATATTCCGTTATAGTATTGCAAAACTATAACTACACGTACTCTACACAAAATATGATAACGTGGGAACAAAGGACGATCGCGTCTTTCAGGTGGAAAACCCGAGCCATTCATTTACCGCGTTCTATGAAAAACTTGTATAGCTATACTATCAGCTGTGAAAAAGCACGTGAGGATTCCATATTATTTTCAGTCCACATCAATTTGTTTATAGTCTGCATGCTTAGGAAGTGACGTCGCGATATCTATACGTAGCACTTTTGACTTTGCAGACAAACTAATACTATCTATCTCATTGTCGTTGTAGAGAAATGTAAATAAAACACTTGTAAAGGTTTAAAACGCGAAATTTATGACTTAACATATTTTTACGATTTTCAGATGCAAGGCAAAGCAAAGCATTCGAGTGGAAATAAATAAAAAACAAGTTAAGTAATATATTTCGTATTTTAAACCGTTAAAAGTGTTTTATTTATATGTGTACTACTTGTGTGAACTGAAAGTGTAAGTTGAAGATTGTATATCATTAGTACCATTGTAGACAATAAATTAAATATAATAATTATAAATTACAGCCCGGTGCATAGTAGGTCGCCTTAACATATATCTTCTCATATCATATATATTAATAACAATGTTCAGAAAATGTAAACAGCAGTCGAGATGTCGTTATTGTCTTCCTGGTGATAAGGAAGTCGGAATGACAATGATTTGTTTGTAAGCGTTTATTTTAACTTTGTCACAAGTTTATTTTTCATCATTCGCAAAAATATACTTGGTTCTAGCTGTAATAAATATTCTTTCAAATAAGAAGCAAAGTCCTCGAGTGAATTTATTTACTCGAGTTCCTTTTTTTTCTACAGGGATGACGATATATAGATATGATTCTCCAAGTTAAACTGCATTTCTTACAGAAAACCTATATGGCGCCTCTTTTGAGCCATATTTCTAGCTCTATACGGCGAACCACAACATCTTGGACGGCTTTAAAGTCGTTCTTTAACCACGCTTATTGTAAAGCATCCTACCAGTCGTCCGACTCGTTGGCCTTAGTTAAAAATAAATAGGCACGTTTTAAACAGTTCAAATAGCTTTATTTATACTCATCTCAACTGCAATAAACGGTATTTTTTATGATATATGAAGACAGACAAGCATTAGGTTATATTGATAGAAAGTTAAATAACTAAGCTACGTATTATATAGAAATTATTTTTGCGATACTTAAATATAGCACAATTCCAAATCACTCCAGGTGGGTAACCTTTACCTTGCTTAGTCACAATTCAGTAAATTAGCGTCAGAATGAATCAGTTGGGAATGAGAAGCAACAATTAAACATTTCCCTCGACACAAAGCCAGTGAGACAGTTGCGCATCGCTTCGCTTCCGCAAACCGTTTATAGAACTCTCGCGGAAGATAGGAAGGTCGCATCTCCTTATCCACATCCACAATTAGATACTTCGCTTATACAACAAGACCAAAATATTTAAAACGGAATAAATAAAATACATACTTAGATTTCCATACGC